CAAATACCAAAATGTCTATATCTAGGAGTATCATCTGCAAACTGCAAAGGACCAAACACAAGAAAACCTTGAAAGAAGCCAGAAGAATAAAACAACTAGAGAGAATTATATAGGTCTTCTCTTCAGAAACTATATAAAAAGAAGAAAATGGTATGCTTAACATGGTAAAAGAAAAGCTGCCAATCTTGAATTCTGTATCCAGTGAAATTATCCTTCAAAAGTGAAGAAAGACTTTCTTTGCAAACAAAAATTGAGGAAATTCGTGGCCAGGAAGCCTACATGCAGTAAATGTTAAAATCAAAACAAGGCAGAAATAGGCAGTTTCATAAGGAAAAGGAGAGGTCTAGAAGAGAGATAAATGAGGGCACAAAGAAATCTTTCATATTTCTTATTCTTTGGTCTCATAGACAATGAGTACTTGTGATTCCTATTTTACCATTAGAGCTGCTGGGTAAGTAATGAATGACAGTGATGCTATAAGGATGAGACCAAGGAATTGGGAATGGTGTTGTGACTCCTGTGAAGCAGTATAATAGTATTTGAAGGTAGACTCGGGTTAGTTATAAATACAGGTTTTTGTTGTTGTTTTGTTTGTTTATTTGTTTGTTTTGTGGTACTGGGGATTAAACTTAGGACCTTGAAGGATGAGGCAGGAGTGGCACCACTTAGCTAAATCCCTGGCCCTAAATATATATTTTCATACAAAGTCAGGGCAGCCTCTAACAAAAGTGTCAAAATAAAAATTATAATTGATATGTTAAGAGAAGAGAAAAATGGATCACTAAAAATGCTTAGTTGAAACCAGAGAAGATAGAAAAGAAGTATAGGACAAAAAAATGCATATTAAAAATAAAGGGATAGAAAAGCTATGTCAAGCTGACATTAATCAAAAGAAAGCCAAGGTGACTATTTGTATGAGATAGAACCACCAGCACTGGACCAAGCATCACATAGTGGTTCAGGTGCACAGAGAGACTCCCCTAGGAGGTAAAAGTTGAACTGAGGCCCTGGGGAGCAGGGGAACCAGCAGGGAGGATAGACAGGGTTGAGTCTCCAAGCAGGTCATGGGCTGTGAGAGTCTAAAGAAAGAAAGGCACCACTATGATCAGAGGAGCAGGGAGATGCTGCAGAGCCTCCTGGGCCACAACATAGCCTGGGCCTATGCCTCACTCAAGGGTTTGTAAAAGGAAGTAAGCCCATCCTCAGAAGCCCTTACCATTCCAGGGCTGTGAAGTTGCTCTCATGTGTTTTGCAGAAGCTGTATGGTTTTAGCTGTAGCATTTAGCTGTATGGTTATAGCTGTACTATGTCCTTGTTGGGTTGGTGTGTACCAAGGCAGAAGGCAAGGCACACCCTTTCCAGGGCTCTGCAAGTGCCCCAGGGTCTTTACCAAGCCAGAGTTCCCTCTTCCCCTTGAATCCACATACTGCCTTTGTCACAGATCACTTACCACGTGTGTGTGCCTCTGCTCCATCTCTTGGTTCCATCCGTTTGTCTATCCTGGTGCCTCTCTTGATAGTGTGCCTTGAAGGCAGGTAATGTAAGTTATCTTAGCAAATTTATGTCTTTTCCATATGAATTTAGAATTACCTCATTCTTTCAGAATCATCTATTCTTTTCAAATGCTTGCTAGAATTTTGCTTGGGTTGTGATTGAGTCTATAGCTCAATTTCAGAAGAGTTGACATCATAATAATATCAAAACTTCCAGTTCATAAAGGTTGCACATATTTGCATTTGTTTAAGTTGGTGGTTTTTTCTCTTTTGTGTTACTAGAGATTGAACTCAGGGTCTTCACACTGAACTAGGTCTGTAGCCCTTTAAAAATAGAAGAGTTTCACTAAGTTGTTAAATTACTCAAGCTGAGCTTAGACTTGGAGTCCTCCTGCCTCAGCTTCCCATAGTAGTAGAATTACAGGTGTGTGCTGCTGCACCTGGTTTATTTAGGTTGTGTTTCATTTCAGGTCTGTCAGGTAGTTTTGGGTATAGATGTCTTGCACATATTTTGTCAAATTTTAATTTTTAAAAAAATATTAGAATTTTTATATTGCTAGCTTCTAACATTCAGAAATATAATATAAATATGTTTATATTATATAAATATAACTGCAATATACTAATTACCTAAGATATTTATATTTTATGTAAGTATAGTATAACTCCTTTGAGTGGCATATTGTATCCTGTGACTTAATAATTTACTATTCTAGGTAAATTCCTTTGGATTTTTTATTAATAAAATCATGTTGTCTACAAATCAAAATTATTTCGTTTCTTTTTCATCTTTTTGTTTCCTTATTTTTTTCCTTCCATCCCTTATTTTTCCTTATGGAAATAACTATGACCTTAAACAAATATTGACTAGAAGAGATGAATATAGACATCCTTACCTTTTCAGATCTTTGGGAGGAAGTATTTAATATTTCACCATTAATTATTTTTCCCTTTCAGATATTATTAAACTGAGACGGTTCCCTGGTATTCCAGTTTTCTGGGTGTGTGTTCTCTGTTTTATTTATTTGTTTAATCATGAATGAGGGTAAAGTCTTATGCAGCACTTCTTCTGAATTTATTAAGAAGGTCATATAGGGCTGGGGATTTAGCTCAGTGGTTCCGCCACCTGCCTCGCAAGCGCAAGGTCCTGAGTTTGATCTTGGTACCAAAAAAAAAGAAGGTCATATAGTTTCTTTTCCTTTATTCTATTAATGTGATAAATTGCATTGATGGATTCATTAATATTAACGTGTCACGATGGAGCCATATTTTGCATGTGTTGCTGCCAGGTTTCTTGAACCAATGGTCCATGCATGACTGCCCCATCGAGCAGCACAGTCATGCATGGGACAGTCATGCCTCTACCGTCAGTGGTTCAAGCTTGAGGGAATGTATTAAACCAGCATGAGTTCTTATAGCCAGTCCTACTTGGTCAAGATATGTCATTCTTTTTTATGTTGCTGGATTTAATTTGCTTTCAGTTAGTAAAGGAACATTAGTCTCTTACCATGTCTGCTCTAAATGGGCAGATTGTCCTCCACTCACTCTTGTGTCCCAAGCCCCTTTCTCAATGCAACCACAGAAAAAGTGCTTTATATATGTTATTGGGAGAAGGCCAAAGACCTAAACTGAAGATATGCGTTCATTAATTTAAATTATGTGAAATATTAATGACTTTGGCTCACTCAGCAGATGTTTGCACTCTGGCTAGTGCTCAGCACAGTGCTGCTCAGCAGAGCACCCACTCCATTTCTAGTCACTACTCTGTGGCCCTCTCATCCTTTCTCATGTCTCCAGCCTCTGGAATGGGAAGGCCATAGGATATAGTCCTTATGCTCTTCTTTTGCTCTTTGCAAACATGTACAGCCTCGAAGCTAGAAATCTCATGAGCATATGACTCTTACATGTATATATTTAACTTAGGCCTCCCCTAACTTCTAGCCTGGTTTAGCCACAGCCTCCTTGATATATTACCACTGATGCCCAACCAGCATCTCTCAGTTAGCATGTCTTAGAGTCAGCTGGGAAGGACCTTCTCAGTCTTCTCCATGTCAGGGAAAGCTAGCCCTAGCTTTCTGGCTGCCAGGCCAGAAATTATGGCACCATCTCTGGTGCCTCTTTCTCTCCCAGCTCATCAGCCATCCTCCATAAATTCTGTCAGCCCCACCTTCAAAACATGGTATCTCCAGAAGGCTACCATCTTGCCCACATCTGCCACCATTCTCTTCTAGGCTGCCATCCATCTCTTGCTGAAGTATTCACTGGTTCCCCAGTTGGTTTTCCCTTTGCAGTTTTCCCAACATAGTGGGCAGAACAGTGCCTTTAAAAATTAGGCTAAGTTGTATAGCCCATTTCCTCAAAGCCCTCCAGAAGGCCTCTGTCTTATTCAGAGCAGAAATCAAGAGACTCCTTGTATCCTACATCATTCATGCCCTCCCCTTTGTCCTTGTTCTCATGTTGCTGCTGCTACTGGAATGTGCTATTCCTGTTCTGCCAAAGGCTTCCACATTTGCTTCCTGTGGCCTTGAGCAGTTCTGTGAGTTGACCTAGCTATGGACCACCCCCCACTTCCTGTGGATCCTTACTGAAATGTCACCTTCTTTTACTGCCCTTCTGTCCATTTCACCTGTTTCAGAAATACCACCAAGAAATCCTGTTGCTTTTCTCTGCTTTTTCACCTTAACACTTTTAATACATAACACATATATTTTATGTGTTTATCAGCTGAAATCTACAATAAACTTAAAACTCATGAAATTGGGGGAAGTTGTATCATTCATTGCTGTATGCTCAGTGAATAGAACAGTATCTATCATGGAATAAATGTTTTGTGAATAAATGAGGAACTGAAAGAATGAATGAATATAGTTACCAGTCCCTGATCTTGTGGGGCTAACAAGCTTCATATTAGTGAGTAGAGTTAATGAAACATTAATGGGGGAGAGAGATCTGCAAGAGACAGGCATGCAGACATTGGGGGTTGCCCTCAGGTTTGACATGGGTTCAGCAGAGGAAAGCCAGATCTCTGTCTGTTAAAGTGGAGAAACAAGGATGAAGCAGCATGGTGGCAGCAGAGGGAAAGTGAAGAAGAATGAGGACTGCAAGTAGCACTGTGCAGTTACTGACAGTGATGGGTGTCATCTCCTTTAAGGATCATGCATCAGACCCATGGTAGGAATGTTACTGAATCCTTCTTTGTCCCATGCACAATAATCTACATGATGTAGGCACTGAGGGTCATGTCATTTCTAGAAATGACAACACAGAAAGAAAGCCTTGGTGATAATTTGCCATGCAGAGTTTCTCTGGAGAATGAATCCCTTCCACGGGGGCCTTTGGAGCAGTACCCCTGTCCTTGACCTGTGTCTCTTGACAGCCAGCATCTGTCCTGTGGGTGACAGCCTCTGTGTCCATTCCACGTCTCAGATGTCAGTCATCTGTTCTCCTCTTTGGTTGGACTCTTGCCAGACAGTTTTTGAAAACTGCTTTTCTGTTTTGAATTCCCAGGTGCCATTTTTTGGACCTTTGTTCGATGGCGCCATCGTGAGTGGACAACTGCTGCCGAGCCTTATCTGTGCCACATGCATCAATGCCAGCCGGGCTGTGAAGTGCCTCATCCCGCTTTACCAGAGCTTGTATCCTTTGCTTTACGTGTGCCCCTCACAAGCCCTCCCAGCCTCCAGATTTCTGGCAGTGTTTCATGTGAGGTAAGTATTAAAAATCAGAGAATCTTTCTCCGTCTATGTTGAAAATAGCACAGTGTGATTTGCTCCATACTACTTGTTAATCTGTACTAAATGTTACCATTTTGTGCTACATCAAACTTAGAAGGAGTTTATTTGCATACTTTGCTCATGGAAGCGTGTACCTGAGAAGCTGTGACTGTCATGGGATCTCTTGGCTCCTTAGGTATCTCTCTCCAAGTTTAGGCTCCCTCTCATCCCTGAATATCACAATCCACTGTGTGAGACAGATGCAGAGCAAAATGTAACAACGGGGTCGTTCAGGGAACCTCCCAGCAGCCAAAAGCAAATGAGCTGACTAATAAATCAAAGCATGTGGCAGGTGCCACCTGAGAAGTGCAAATAGAGTTCTGAAAGGTCAGTGGAGGGAGTGGCAGTGTCCGGCTGGGAGGAAGGGAGGGCATCCCAAATGAAGTATGTTTGGACTCAGCAAGAACAGTCAGGAGTCATTTTATAATTTCCCCAGATCATTAATATCTTTTCCTGTAGTTCACTGTCTTGGCTCTAAAAGCAGAAGAAATTTTGCTTTTCTAATTTTTTCTCAAACATAATTAGCATGCTGTAATCCTTAAATCCAAGCATGAGTCTAATTACAAGAAAAAGAGATTAAGGTGAGTAGCTTCATAAAATTGCTACAAAACATCTGACCTCCCAATAAAACTTAGTCTGTTTGTTCATAATTGGTACTGAAAATGATTTTTAAAAATAACATGGTGTATTTGACCTCTCTCCTTATACTTTTCCCATACTAATTGTGAGCGATGGGTTCCTAGTGGGTAGAGGGTGGATGAGAAACATCACATGTGCGTAGATACAGTTTGTGAAAAATACTTTTCATTAAAACCGTGGTCACTTGATTGACTGATTCTGCCTTTAGATTAAAAAAATACATATGCCATGTGGCAACTGAGAATTATCATAGAAATTAGTGGTAGAAAAGAGCGATTAGGTCCCATCTGGTCTGTCCCCTGGGGCCAGGCAGCCGTGTTCCCTCCAGCACTCTCTCCTGCTTTGTCCAGGCTGGTGGTGAGTGTGGAGACAGGATCTATGCAGTGACTGCTATAGCACTCTAGGCTTCATCTTAGTGCTGGTGTCATTTCGGCCTTCAGCAAGCAGTTTTTATCTCCTGCGCAGTTGGAAAGAGCAAGACCTCTTCAGCACCTGCTCTGTGGCTTGCGTATCAGCTAGGGTGCGTGGGGCACCCGTTGTCACCTCTGATGGAGCAAGGCACAAATTCATTTGAAAGAAAATTCTGTCGATTTCATCACATCCCCTTCTCTGCTCCCCAAACTTCTCGTTATGAAATAGTTGCTGTGTTGTTTTGTGGAACACTGCTTTCTCTAGTGAGAATTAATACAGAGTAATGGGGTTTAGGGAAAATAATATTTTTTAAATATTTTTTAAAATTTCAAAGCATAGTCTTCAGCATCACTTGAAAATCTTTCCCAGCAGTGTACACACCTAGTATGTTAATGTGGGTTAGTAAGTACTGTACTCAAAAATAACTCATTTCACTTGAGATCTCCAAGGGTAACTTGGTACAGAAGTGAGGAACAAAGAAGTAACAAAACCTATCGTATTGATCATTATAAATTTTTTTTATCAAATACTTTGAGTTGCTGAGGCCGAAATAGCTCAGTTGGGAGAGCGTTAGACTGAAGATCAAATACTTTGAGTAAATTCAGTTGGTGCTATTGAAATAAATTATTTAAAATAAAATCTATTATATGTGATTCTTATAGAGATATAATTAATGGGGAAAACTTTGCAGTCATTTAACTGCTCTCTTCTTTAACTTCTGCTATGAAAGGGCTAAAGAGAAAAATTAAGAAAAAACAGTTTTTTGTGTTTTTGTTCTTTAAAAGTAAACAAATTTTTGAAGCTCCACACAAGTCCCTGGCTAGGCTATTCATAATTAGTTGCTCCTTTAATATCTCATTAAAACATGAAGGCCCCATACATCCTTTGGCCTGTTTGATCCCATCGTAGCTTATGTTCAGAATTGCCGCTTCATCTATGCATCTCAGGTTTGAACATCGAAAACACTGAATAACCCAACAGACTCTGGTTCTGCGTGTCTGGTTACAGGTATTCATTTAGTAAATACACAGTTCCTGTGGGCTATCTGCCAGGTTAATACAAGGAACAGGAACAGGGAGGCCAGTTCCTCGACCTTGGGTATCACACAGAAGCCAAACTGGAAATGCGTACACCTGTGGGGAGGGGAGTAGTTCTGTGAAGAAAGGAAATAGAAAGTTGAGGGGAATAAGGGTGCAGAGCAGGTGAGGCCTCTCTGAGGAGAGAGCAACTGGGTTTTGGTGGAGGTTGGAGACTGGAGAAATGCCATCCTCCAAGGGCAGAGGTGACACCCCATTAGCGGGCGCAGGACTTGGTATTCTGGAGTGGTGAGCATATGTGTTGGAGAGGTTGGAGACAGCCCAAGTCCATCAGGGTGCCTGGGATAGATCCAGAGCCAGCTCTGATGGAGTTGGTGCTCTGGCTGGTCCCTGAAGAAGTCTCCTGACTCTTCCTCCTCCTGCATACCCCAGAAGTTCTTATCTTAGTAGAGCACTCTGGAGCGAATTACCAAGTTCACCTGCTGAAGGTGGGGACCTGCTGGGGCTGGGGACCTTGGGAATAGCTGGATCCACCCTTGGTCCAGCACCAAGAAGGAATGTGGTACTTCTTCCCACAGTGGGGCTGCTGCTAAAGGTGCTAGATAGAAAGTATTTCCCTTCCTCTGCGTGCTCCTGACTTGTTGCAGTACAGTATTTTTATATTTACCATTCAGTGTCACTCTTTAGAAAGGAATATTAAAAATTTAAATAATTTTATCATTCTTAGATTGTGCAGTGCCAGCTTAATGTATAAATCTAAGAATTTCTGACTCATATGTGGAATACCTGAAGTGACACATACATATTCCACAGCTCACCATACGGGTGTAGTTTGCTCTTGGTATATGAATGGAAGCACTGTACAGAGCCAGCTCCCTGCATGCATTCTGTTCCTCATGCACACAGGTTCTGCTGGCACTGGGCACCATCATTCAGTGCTGAGTGAGGAAGGAGAGCCCAGGTCACCCTGAAGTGCCCTTTCCCCCTGTGTTATGATTGCCACAGTGAGTAGCTTGCTGCCATGGGGTGGGGTGGGGGGCACAACAAGAAAGAATTCCATAGGGTCCCTGGGTGACTGGTGTTTCTTCTGGAGCTATTGCTTTCTTTCTTCATCCAAAGCAAGTTCCATCAGCAGGAAAGTGACCCCAGAACAGTCAGCTCCCCTAAAAGTGCAGTTAAGGGTGAAACTCACTTTCTGGTATAGCTCGGAGCACACATCTGTGAAGTCCCACCTATTCCCTAAACTCCACTGTGCCCTTGTAGTCAGTCCTCCTCCTAAAGTTTAGCAGTCTGTCCCTTGACTAACCCAACAAAGCTGGTAAACAAGGTCCTTAAATGAGGAAGTTGTCCCTTTATCTGTACATACCACCTTAAAAGAAAGGAACCAAAAACCAGAGAAAGAATTGCTATTAATGTTCCCTTGAGATACCAGGTACAGCTGTGAGTGCTGACAAAGGGAAGTTTCATTGGCAATCCAGGCCATTCTGTGTGGCAGCCCTGATCACTGTTTTGTTGCTAATACATCACATCTTGGTGACTTTCAAAGCAGTTGAGGACCAAGTTTGATACTTGACCATTTTGATGTAAAAATTTGTGTCTCAGTACTTGTCATTTGTTTGGCACTTGAAATGCAGGCTAGAATATGTTGGGTCAATTGCCTTGTGACTCTTCCCCTTTGCAAGTACAGACTGGTACTCCTCGTGCCTCCTGGAACTAGTTAATGATAGGTAGGAAGGTGTCACCCTATTTGGATTACAGCTGTTAAGCAGAATATGGCAAAGCTGCTCCTTTCTTCTGAATATCATGCATTCCCTGGATATCAGAATGACAGACATTCTGTAAGCAAAGAACCTGTCCCATAGTTCAGACTGTCTGTAAACTCTGAGTTGGGGGGAATTTGCTTTGTTGTGTCAACCATACGTAGCCAGATATTGAACCTAGGGACGCATGAAGAAAAGGGCCAGAAGAGTTGCTTTGGGACCATTCTGTGCTTCCTTTTCCCTTCCAGTGAGGGGCTGACATGTAACAGAATGGGTCAGTTAGGTCTCACTCTCACAGAAGATTTTTAGAAATAGAAATGAGCACATATGAATTTTGTTCAGTAATGTTCAAGAAAATATAGTTTCTGACTAAGCAGAGGATTAGGGGCATTGCTGGAACAAATTTGCCTTTGGGCTTTTTTTTTTTTCTTCTTCTTCTTCTTTAGTAAATCCAGTTTAGAATCAATATAAAGGAGTTCTTGTTTGACATTCTCTTGGCTAACTGATCAAAGAGTTGGAACTCTGTGGAAGTAGTACATAGAAGGCTGAAATATACCATTGTTTTATGTGATCAAAACAAAGAAAGAAGTGGACACAGTAGGGCTATGTTTGGAAAGCACCCTCTTTAGCATTTAAGCCCACCCCGCCTCTCCCTCCCTTATTCTCCTGTAACCTCCTCCATGGGCTCAGTCAGATCTGTCAAATGGACCCTTCATCTCATGGCCACTGCTCTTTGGAGTGACGAGTGCCACCTCACCTACCATCTGCTTTTGCAGCCCTCCTAGCTGAGCAGCAGGCCTCTTCCTGTGCTGAGAGTGTTATAAATGGGAAGCCTGCCACATACTGTGTTTATGGCTCCCAACCAGTTGAGGATTCCAAAATGAGACCCTGCTCGGCCAATGAAGTTTCCAATACCATTAGAGCAGGGCTTTCATGCTCCTTGTCAGATAACTCGTTTCAGGAAAGGGTTGCTGCACAATATGCAGCGTGCCCATTAGGGGAGTTCACCCTGAAT